ATAAAGCAATTATACAGGTGCCCACGCAAATTATACTTGCTCAATTGAAATCATTACAATAATTGTTTAAGCAAATAAATTTCATTTCAAATATACGAGAATACAATTGGGCCTCCACAAGACAATGAGTGTTATCTTAATAGATACACTCTTAAATTATATAAAAATAAAGGTAATATTACAGATAAAGATAAATTACTTAAATGAATTATATTTTCTTCTCAACATATATTCACTCTACAATGTCTCACTTGCTTCATATGTTGAATTACTGAAACGTAGTTCAAACTTTAACACAGCCTTCTCTAAACAAAAGTTTGTGCTAATAATTTAACCTGAACAAACACTGTACTCAGAATAACTGGATATTACCTACGTAGGAGTATAATATTTAGCATATTGCGTACAAAATAATATTGCATTGATTATATAAAAAAAAATGCTATGAATAATTAACCTGGACAATTTACGCAACGCCATCTGTGTGTAACCCCTTGTGTTTCAGTTCCTAGACTACTGATAGAAATTATTTTTTATAAAAACATGCATAATACACATAGTAAAACAAAAAATCACCATCACGAATACAAAATTTGCATCGTGATCCGAACATACGATCATCGGAATTAAGGCGTGTGCTAAACCGCTTCACTACCGAGGTCATTAAATACATGATTAACGACTTCTTACCAACTTACTATTTTTAACCTATAACGTAAAATGGACGTTATTAGTAAAATCCTGTACATTACATTTGTTTAAGTTAAAACCAAATAAATGGTTGAATCTAAATACTTTTGAAGGCCTAGTTTCACCGTATTGTTTTTAGACATATTATTGGATCTATAGTACATGAATAGGCTATAATATGAAGATATAGGCAAAGTATTGAATTAAATTAAAACAATTGTGGAGTAAATTAAAATAAAGTGTCGAGTGCAGAATATTAAACAATTAAAATTACGCAAACATTCTAATGTTACGCATATAATTCGTTGTAAGTTCCGAACTCAAATTCCGAAATCCAAAATAAAATCTATAATATAAAAAAAGATATTTTTTATATTATAGATTTTATTTTGGAAAATTTACACCAGAAGCATTGCTATTTTAAGTAAAATATGACTAAATGAAAATGGAACGCTTAGTTTGACCATACAAGTTTTACAAAATATAATATACATAAAAAAATTACGTTCTATCGACATTTGTCACAATTCTTGTTTTTCATGAACAAATTGTAGTCCTATAAAATCGGAACCAGTGAATCGAAACCATTTCATGGCCTCGGTGTCAAGCAATTTAGCAGACTGCTTTAATTCCGAATGTTGCGGGTTCGATTCTTTCGCATTTGTATTCATAAGTATGAAACTTTTGCAAATTTATAAATAACATAATTATGCTTAGTGTTCAGTGTATCAGTTGCGTAGTATTTACTCATAACACAAGCTCTGTTTAGCTTAGGTCTAAATGGCGCTATGTGAATTGTCCACAGTTACTATTATTTTAAAGAGTTTGGAATATCCTATAATATAACATATTATTATTATTATTATGTATATAGTAGAACAACAGATGGAAGCGGTCTAAATATATCTGCTTCGCTTCGAAGTACAAATATAGTCTTAGCATATCTTATGCTTCCTTGATCCTATTATAGCTTCCATTAGACAAATAAGGAAAATAACAGCTCTCAATGCTACAAAAATAAATAAACTAAAGAAAAGTTCAAATAATTAGTATCTATAAAAGTTAAGATTTAATTGCATTTAATTAAATTTAGTATCACGCACCTACCGGCGTCTCTCGGATAAATGCTAGAAGTAAATGTATAAATGGTAGAAATAAATAAACTAAAGAAAAGTTCAAATAATTAGTGTGAAGATATAATTGCATTTAATTAAATTTAGTAGGTACTCGGCTATTCTCGGAATATTTCTTTTTGTTTGATGTCGCTGTTTTCTTCACTTAATATAATTCAGTGGAACCTAATATTTCTACCTTATTTTCGCGTAGTATATTCTAACTTTACAAAGCATCTATATTTCTTTGATAATTGCATCTTTTTTACTTAGACATATTTAAAAAACTACAATGTTACTTGTTAAATAAAAATAAATGTAACTTTACTATAAATAACATTATTTATTAATCACTGACGCTAATTAATTTGTAAGTCAAATAAATAATAACATAATTTTATTTAAATAGATGAAATGAAGTTAAGAAAGTTTGTAATGTTAGCTTTACAACATGGTTGTTTACTATCTAAATATAGTTAATTTTAAATTTCATTTTATCATTGCTGACTTTGGACTGCTTCATTCATTCATTCATAATTTAAGAGCTGCACTCTAGTATATAAAGCTCTTGCCATTTCCATCAATCTTTTTAGTTGTTGATACGGCTCTAACTTTTATACTCCAAATAATCATCACTCGCAATATTTATACATAATTGTATTATATATACAATTAAATGGTTTACACGAATAATTTTATGATAAACAAGGTATTTACCTCTTTCGACGTTTCGTTCGTAATCTAGTGACGGTAGTTGAACAAAGTGTTAGCATCTACATCATGCATCATCTACATTGACATCGCTAATACTCTAGTCAGCTCGTTACCACGAAAATTTAAGACAGGTAAATATCTTATTTACCATAAAATTATTCATTTGAAAACTTTAACTATATTAATAATATACTAAACGCGATAGTTCAAAAATATACATAATTAGAATAAGCACCACTCACATTATATTGACATACAAACTAATTTTCATTTCTTAAATTCTAAAAAACTTAATCACCAAAATCGATTCTATTATAAATAATAAGGAAACTCATGAAAACCTTTTAGTGAAGGAAAGCCGTTTATATAACAAGGAAAACAATAAATTCACACCCGTGCTTTTGGTTTACGTCGGTTCTTTGTATCCCAGTGTGACGCAACCTTAAATCCCGTATTTTCGAGTACAGCGCGGTATTAAAATTCACAGCGTGTCTCCTGAACGAAGGTGCAGCTTGATTTTTGTGCATTGTTATGCTGCCGGCGGTGGGTAGCCTCGGATACACAGCATGCATGGAAATAAGATGCATCTGGGGAGGAGAGGGGCCTAATAGAAATAATGCATGTTGTTAACAACTTTTTTTTCTGAAAAGTGAAAGCAAAGGGTAAAGAAAATTAAATAATATTGATTAATGTAGGACCTTTTTACCTCTACCTAATTTTTTATCATTAATTAGTGAAGAAGTTGCTATTTACCGATAAGGACGCCTATTACCTTTGTGTGTTATTGTAATTATATGTTTTTATAGTTGTATAGATATATATATATATTACATATAGTTTCTATAATTGTTTATTTAATCTTTTAAAAGAACTATTAAAAGGTGAATGTTAAGTTTAATGAAGTGTTAAGGTCAACAAAATCAATTATGATCATAATAAGTACTTTATAAGTTTTTTTTTATACAATAGCAATATAAAAGTTACTTCAAAGTATAGTATATGTATAATTAACATAACGACTTTGTACTATTACAGAATTAATATTTTACTAGCTAACTAAGTTTTTTGTTTGTTTTTTAAACAGATACTAAATTTTAATTGAAGTTTACCAAAATTTTAGTGAATATAGCACCCAAATCGGCTACGGCAATTCTAAGTTTATCGCGAAGTAATGCAATGACAAACAAACAAACATTCTATAAACCTTTGTTTTAGTGTAGTGTTATGTTGTCCCCGAATAATAGTATTTCTATTATATTCTCCATGTACATACATATAATAAAAATGTAATATAATACCCATTACATATAGACGTTGGGAATAAAGCATTCATTAAAAATGCATCAACGGCCTTTAACTAGTTTAAAACCGAGCTATTTTTTATAAATAATTAATTTCTTAAACAGAACCATAATGTTGGGAACAGCGTGATTTTAACACGTAATTAAACAGTGGCTCAGAAACGAATCTCATAAGCTACCTCATTTTAAATTCCGCGGCGCAGCGGTTCAGTTCATTTTATTTTCACCCGGATGTACACCCCTTTCCCGGGTAAACCGGACACATGGCTACCCGTATTACAAGAATCGTGGATTCAACACAACTGGTAATGAAAGTTAATCTGTGAGAATTTTTGTGGCACTAATTACAACCAGACAAAGGGAAAGATTTTCCCTTTGTTTCTTCTTTTCATGGTCAAAATCTGGTAACATTGTGTTTGTTTATACGCCAGCCTAATTGGCAACGAGGGATTTGCATGTCTATAAGTCACTTATAATATATAATTTTCTCGCAATACTGGTTTTAAAAGTCATTTTTTTATTAAGCGATCGCATGCCGCCTGTTATCGCCCATCTTTAAAAAGTAGGTACTATTTTATTAGCAGCTACTGATCTGCCCCGGCTTCGCGCGAGTGGTAATAACTTTATGAGTATTGTATATACATACTCCTAAAGTTATTACCACTTATTATGTACATAATATGTATTGATTTAAAGCAAGGTATTTATTATGAACGTGTACGTAAAAGGACATCCAAAGAAAATATAGATAAGAATGTTGTAGCGCATTCTTTGATGCATTTTTATATAGATTTTAAAATTTATCATTTAATTTTAGACAGATTATTTTTAACATACCTGTTGTATTAGTCACATATTTATTATTATCTTGACGGCCTCGGTGATCTAGCGGTTTAGTACACCGCTTTACGTCCAATGGTCACGGGTTCGATTCCACGCTCGGTACAAAAATTTGTGTTCATGAGTATAATTGTTTGTATCAGTCTGGATGTTTTCTATGTATATATTTACAACAAACAAGTGTCTATGTATTTATATCAGTAGTCTAGTACACATAACACAAGCTCAGCTTAATTTGGGACTAGATGTCCCTGTATGTATTGTCCAAGGATATTATTATATTAAATTATTAATTATAAAATATTTCATCGTACATATATGATAAAATAAATACATTTTACAGGTGGGGTGGCTAAGAGCCGAAGATCAAACGGTTTTAACAATGCACGACAGAACAGTACTCGGCGCCCGGTACTCTGTGAATTTGGATGCTCCTATGACTTGGCAGCTGAAGATCAGACCATTGAGGGCAGAAGATCGAGGCTGCTACATGTGCCAGATTAATACTCAGCCCAACATGATGTGGCAGATTGGTTGCATAGATGTCAATGGTGAGTCGATGCACTTTTAATAAAACCAATGTAAACGCTATAATTTTTCATCATCATCATCATCCCAGACCGGAAAACGTCCACTGCTAGACATAGGCCCCCCCCCAAAGATCTCCACCACGATCGGTCCTGCGCTGCTTGCATCCAATGCCTTCCAGCGATTTTGACCAGATCGTCGGTCCACCTTGCTGGAGTCCCATGCTGCGTCTTCCGGTCCGTGGTCGCCACTCGAAGACTTTACTGCCCCAACGGCCATCTGTCCTACGAGCTAAGTGCCCTGCCCATTGCCACTTCAAAGTCGCAATTCTTCGGGCTATATCGGTCACTCTGGTTCTTCTGCGGATCTCCTCATTTCTGATTCGATCACGCAGAGTAACTCCGAGCATAGCCCTCTCCATTGCCCTCTAAGTGACTCTGAGCTTATTGTAAGTTGATTGCCCATAGTTAGCGACCACGTCTCTGTGCCGTAAGTCATCACTGGCAACACACATTGATCTTAAACCTTCGTCTTGAGACACTGCGGAAATTTGGACGAAAAGATATATAATTTTGATTAATGTAAAAATTTGTCAACTTCATTGTGATTTCAATATTATTTATTAAATTGCACTGCCTTTATTATCTCTGATCAACGCGACGGTTGATTGGTAGAGAATATTATCAGGCATTAAATCCGCCTTGTATACAATTTTGTGTGCATAAGAATAAATAAATAATAATGTTTGTAATACGTAATAACTACTGAACGGATTTGAATTAAAAAAATAAATATAGATCATATCCTAGGCTAACACAGCGACATATATTAACACACTTGTTGGAACGAATCCTCGCGAGAAACGCACTGAAATACGTGTAGACTTTTTATGATGTATAAATACAATTTCATTAATAAGTGTAACATTGTTTATTCAAATTACATTTATTGTGAGAAAATTAGTGTACTGAGTCTACACTCTCGAGAGTATATATTTTTTTTAATTGTTTCGTGACTCTTCCTCGAACAATCTAGTGACGGTAGTTGAACAAACTGCAGGCATTTATTAACATTGACATACGCTAATACTCCAGTCAGCTCGTGACCACGGCTAGTGTAACCTAGTTGAAACGTCGAGGGAGGTAAATTTTCTTATTTACCATACAATTATTCGTGTTAAAACCACTTTAACTGTACTTATGGTAGTAATATAAACGCAAAACTTTATGAGTATGGATGGATGGATGTTTATTACTCTTTTACACAAAAACTACTGATCCCATTTTGAAACTTTACATTAATATAGCTTATACATCACAATAACATATAGGCTTAATAAAAAAATTTAAATTTGGCGAAATATAATGATAAATGTCAAGTAAGCATGATGCAGAAGATGCTGCTCGAGTCAGCTAGGTACTAATATTATAAACCCGAAAGTTTGTGAGTATATATGTATAGATGGATGGATGGGCTTTCGTTCCTATGTTAATCCTAAATAAATAACGTCGTGTCCATTTAGATTAAATTTAAATTCAGATAATTTAGCCAGATTATTGTGTAACATTCAGAAACACATGTAAAATTAGTATAAAAAAAACGGCATATGTTTAATATATGCGGTATAATTTGTGTAGTACTCAACCACATGTAAAGCACCCTGTATTTACATATTTTCCATTCATCACATCTTCTCTGAAAAAAATATTCTAAATGCAAACATGATATTGTAATATCTCCATTACTGGTCCTTAGATTTCATTTCTGTGAATTTTATATCAAAATTACTGTTACCCACGATGCGATGCTCCTAGTGGAATTAAAATAAAAAAAAACTAAGATAAAAGTATCTTAAGTTACTATATTAACATATTTTTTGCTAATAGTCTAGTTAACACCTGTCCATCATCGATTCTGAGATTAACATGAACAAACAGAGAGACAATTTATAAATTTAATTTTTTGATGTTTGTACTACATATATTGACGGCTTCAATGGTTAGTGGTTTAGAACACTACCTTACTTTCGATGGTCGCGGATTTGATTCCTCGCACGGCATAAACATTTGTATTCATGAGTATGATTGTTTGTATTGGTCTAGGTGTTTCTACGTATAAATTGTATGTATTTACGAAAAAAAAATCGGTATATTTATATTAGTTATTTAGTACCCACAAGCTTTAACTAGCTTAACTTGGGTCTAGATGGCGCTATGTGAATTGTTCTGAGATTATTATTATATGTACTTTCATATGCACTAGTGTAATGCTATTAATTTGAAATTAAAAACAGTCACTTACCCAGATGTTTACTCAGCCGGATGTACAATTCCATCGTCATTCATAAAAATAGAGATTTCCCAACCCCCTTATACAGTCATAATGAAAATTATTGAGCACTTACTTATTATAAGTAGAGATAACTCTGTTTCTCTATTTATCGTCTTAGAAGAGACAGAGAGAAAGCGTAAGGTAAATATTACCATCGCATGTGATTTGATAATTCCTAATACAAAATGAAACCTTGGAATTAGGAAGTTATAGTCTATTTTTAAATACACAAAGTATGTTTAAAAATAGACTATAACTTCCTTATTCCAAGGTCGTTACATACGCGAACCAACTTCCGCAGACTACCGTTCTACACTCGTATTTCCATCCCAACTATTCCGGGTTTTATAAACTCCTTATTATTAAAATTCATAAGCCCTAGGGACGTGAAATTATGAATTATTCTTAACTCGCGGAGTAGTTTGTTCGTCATACAGCGAACATAAAAGGAAATGCTTTTTTGTAACAGCTCTCTTCTTTAAATTATAATAAATTTGTAAAATGATGGCGAGACGAGAAATGTCTGTCTGTGTTGATGTTTCATGTAAAAACGGTTTGAGGAATTAATGTGAAATTTACATAGAACATAGAAATATTATTATCTAGTAATCAACTCTAGTAACAACCAAATCTAGTAACAACAACACAAGCTTTGCTTAGCTTGGGACTAGATGGCGCTGTGTAAGTTGTCCTAAGATATTATTAATATTATATTGTTAGACATGGGTCAAATTAATGGAACAAAAGAATAATATGGTCTATTTTAATTAAAAAACATTTGAGATTCCTACAAAAACAATTAATGAACAATTATGCCAATTTGGTAATCATTAATAAAAAAAAAAATACAAAATATGCCAAGAGACTTTGACGTTGATATTCTTTTGCAGCATATTTTAAAAGTAGAAATTTTATCATCTTTTACAGTACAGTAATTACAAGGATTTCTGTTACAAAAATAATTATTTGTATTTATTTATACACATGTTTAGTGTGCATAACGCAACTTTTTATGTGTATTGTATATATGTTTTTTATTGTTTATTATTTGATATATATAACTTTATATATTGTTATTATTATTCTTCTTTTTATCGGCTTTAATTTCGATACATATAACAATACTATTTCTGAATAAAAAACATCATCAATAATTACTTTTAACAGCTTAATATAAATACAATTTCTTCGTTCACATTTAATTTAGTAATTCATTGTGTCTTCAATTATTGAATAATGCAAACAAAGCATATTCTATCTAAATATCCAACCAAATATGGTAATTTTCTTATACGAATATATAAAGAAGTGGATGTATGGATTGTGGATACATTTCCATTCCATAGATAGCGGTATTGTTTCAAAACGTAACACCGGAGTCGTATCATTTATTGGTATACGAGACGAAACAAGCCTCGCCGTCAACATTCATGCATTCCGTAACCCCTCCTGGGAATAACCGTGAAGATATACGATTATTACGGCAGAAGCAGGCTTAGATTACGAGTTACCGCGCCCTTTTCCATTCGCCTTTCTGGGGCATGTTGGTCGTTGATCGATCGGCTAGCCGGTACATGTGGGCTCCGATTTCATATTCTATTACAATATTAATGTATTATAATGTGTTATTTTATTTGTTTATAGGGTACGGTGAAGGCTTGTTTATTAGAGTTGGTGTTGAATGTTTTATATGTGATAACTGATAACGCTCGAAATTCTTGTGGTAGGTTTTCAAGTATTAATATTGTGCGAATGCGAATGCTTTTGTGGTTATTTATTAATTAGCTTGAAAATTACAAAATTATTCCACGTTTTTAAAGCAGTTTTAATTATATAATATGACTACACAAATATAGAATACAATACTTCCACAAAAAAATCAAATATTATGAGTATCTATGAATATTATATCAAGAGACCAAAGAGAGAAATAATCGTGAATGATTAATTTCAGACCAATCCTGATAAAACATAAAGTGTTGTCACTATTGTGACCTTCAAATGTTAAACGACACCCACATGTATACCATCTATTATATATACAACAACACCATACACCATGGTTATGGTATTATTTTATAGAAGTATAAATAGGTCCTTTGCCAATTTGCAGAATAAAAAAAATGAGAAATTAGAATTCGAAATTCGAATATTGAATTTGATTATCTTTTATTAGAACACAATTATATTTCTATGTCGACTTTGTATGAAGCTTTTGTAATATGTGTTTATCTTCAAAACAGAATTGTTATTATATTCATTCAGTCATGTTATAATGAATATGAATAGATTTATGAGAACACAAGCAATGTTTACATTCCGTTATGCACATACATAATGTATTTTTAATGTAATTATAAATAAAAAAAATGTTTTAAAACTTTTAGGACAGCACTACTAACATTCCTAAAAATATTATATCATTATAAAAAATTCTATATTTTGTACCGCAGTATTTGTATATTCAAATGTATTCAAATCAAAACTTCCATATTTAGCATAAGATAGTGGGACACTTGATAGAGTGGTGGCCAAAACCTATAGACTAGCCTAAACATTATAAATTGAATCTGTACCACTGTGGTATCTGTCACGCCTTGCATTGCCTGTCATTCCTTAGCAGTAATTTAAATGAATAAAAGAAAAACAGTTGCAAATATGATACTGGCAGCAAAATAGGCGAAATAAATAT